TTTTTTTTTCAAACACATATGCAGGTGGTTACATATGGTTAGAATAATTCAAATGCAGTAAGTATACACGTTTTTCATATAAATATAGTCTAGAACTTAATTATTGTCTGTAGCCCACATAATTACACACTTTAGTTACATAAAACATGTGAGTTTTGATGTTATGTACTGTATAGCCTGTATAATAAATAAATATTTAGCACAACAATTATAAAATCCAGAAAGCTACACAACATGGGGCGGTTCATTTACAAACACAAGTCTAACTTATGTTTCACACTGTTAGAAAACAATCACATTGTTACAGCTTAAATTACACAAAATGTCAGAAATCTACACTGTCATGAACAAAAATTTAAACCTAATTTTTCATGATTTGTTGGATTAACCCTCTGAGGTCTGAAATACAACCGGCCACTTTTGACTCCTTTTGAGTTTACGTTTGTATTTCACCCTCAGATTGTTTCATTTTATTTTTTCCCCCGTTGCCTTGTCTTTTCAGCTCAACTGAATTTAGTTGTTTTTTTCACTGACATACTGCATTAGTGTTACTGATCTGAAACCACACAAAGAACTTAAAATCCTACTAGTATTTTTTTACTGTAAAAAAAAAACAGTAAATTTTTATAACTTGAAATGCAAATATAAATTGTACATTTTGTAAACATAAACAACTATTTATCTAAAAATGCAGCCAATACACCTGCCATTTCTTTCATTTTCTACAACCATTTAAACATATTACGAAAATTAAAATAAGAGAACAATCAGGTGTTGCAATAAGATGCCCTACAAATGATGTGTGCCAGTAAAAAAACAAGTTTGTCCACCAACAGACAGAAGAGCACAGGGACAAACCTGCAGGCCTGACAACAGCAGGTGTATCACTGGTTTTCTACTTAGTGACAGTGCTTACAAATGTGCCTCTGTGACATTCATTAGTGCCCTCACTGACACACAAAACAAAACGACTACACAACAGAACAACTACACAACACACTAAGTATACACTCCACACTAAACGTCACAAATCTCCCACATCTAAACTCTCTCTCTCTCACTCGCTCGCTCTCTCTCACTGCCGTTACCGTCCTTTTCCCTCTTCCTAAACAACCAAATCCTACGTGTTGACTGTTTTTTTTAAATTGGTCGACATGGTGCATTTTTCCACCGTGTTACGTTTCGGTGTTGTCAGTGTTTTGTTTTTGCGTGACTGTCATGTGTTTCCTGTTTTACTTTGAAGGTCTGTTGTTATCTTAGTGTGTTCAGTTTACGTTTTCTTGTCTCGTCAGGTCTAATTTGCTGCAGCTGTGTTTCCCTCCTGTGGTCCATTCCCTGATTGCTCCTTCTATGTATTTAAGCCCTGTGTGTCAGGTGGTCATGGTCGCGATCTCCCCCGTGTTGTAAATAGTTTGGTGTTTTGATGTAAATAAATAGTCTGTTGTAAATAGCTGTGAATGGGTTTGTTAATATTTTCGTTTGAGACACCTTCGTTTTGGGATTTTGGTGGAGAGCTTTAGTTTGTTTCTCGTGTGTTTTTTTTCCTTATTTTTATTTTCATACGTTGCACGCCGGTTGCCTAGGCCGGGGTGTAACAACCGATAGGAAAGAGGTGGCTTTTTTTCTTTCTTTACTGTTTTCGCGCTGTCCTTAGAAAACGCTTAAAACACACCCACACAAAAACGTGACGACAGTATTTAGAAAAAAGTGTGGCTTATATATATGATCATAACTCTGGATTTACTGGCCTGTAATTAAAATTTAAAAACTTTGAAGTCTGAATTTTCAATGTGGCTGAAACAGAGACTCAGCGTGGCTGCAGCTTGTTGCTGCATCAGCTTACATCAGTCATGTGATCTGGAGGTGCAGCGTGTCCGTGGACCACAGAGGGTTAATAACACTCACCTTCCTTCCATTTCCAGAGTGTAACATCCACCCACCTGTGTAAAAAGCGAAATTCCCATGGTGTTGTTCAGAATGTGCTCTGGCACAATCATAAGCATCG